GTGAATTTAGGTATACAATATAAATCCAATTGCAGTTGTTAGTGAAAATTGCACTAAAATGTTGCAATGGCAAAATATTGCACTAAATTAAAAGTTCAAATGTAACAAATAAGTTACAATATTGATGTTGTAATACTGGTAGCACTATTATAAAAATTTGATGACATATGTTACAAAAAAGTAACAATTTTGAAATACAGTATGTTGATGGTTGTATTTTTTTTGTCTTATCTCAGTATTCCTATCGACGTTGTATATATATATATATATATATATTCAAACTGTTTAAAATAGCTGGGCTTAGATATATAATTTTTATGAAATCAATATATTTTTATGACATATATATGACATCTATGACATCAAAGTACTGCTCTCTAATTGCTCTCGCGGTACTTCGATGTCACACACCGATCGATCTGATGGTGATGATCAGCTTCAAGTCGAACAAGCCTAATGATTCAATGGATCATTTATAAAGAGAACCATTTACTTCACTCCTGAATGAATCAGCCATTTGAACAAATCAAATGAATGAATAAATGACTCTGACTTAATCATTAAAGGGGTCATATGACGTTGCTAAAAAGAACATTATGTTGTGTATTTGGTGTAATGCAATGTGTTTATGCAGTTTAAGGTTCAAAAACACATTATTTTCCACATAATGTACATTTTTGCTCCTCTATGCCCCGCCTTTCTGAAACGCGTCGATTTTTTACAAAGCTCATCGTTCTGAAAAGTGAGGTGTACGCTGATTGGCCAGCTATCCAGTGCGTTGTGATTGGCCGAAATACCTCAAGCGTGTGACGGAAATGTTACGCCCATTACTATACTGTGATGCCGTGTCCCGGCGCGATGAGACAACACCAATAAAACCCATTACAAACGAGGCATTTGTTGCATCCAGTGGGGACATAATTAATGATTATAATGACTTATACTTATCTTTTTACGCGTTGCTTTGCATATCATGCCACGTAAACATAAAACCATGTCTGCATTTGTGATCCGAGAAACGACAAACAACAAACGCTACTCTACACTGCTCAAAACTCGCGTTTGAATCGTCAGTGAAGAAACCTTTGCCTTTGTGCACAGACGCATTGTAGGCTACTCTGCAGGTTCAGGAAACAGTCCTCCATAAAATGCTCTGCACACATCTGAATATTTGTGTTGAACTGTTATGGAACAGTGTTGTAAATACAATTTAACCACTGATTTCTTGTTGTGTCCTCTTTTGGAAGGCCAAACAAAGTAGTTTAGCTTTCACAACGAAAATGACCTCTTTAAGACATTTAGGCTACCACCACCTACTGCCAGTTTTAGTTTATTATTTAGAGTATCATTTCATTAAAGAAATAATTTCATATTTCCATAGTAATAATAAAAATTATTAAAGGTATAGTTCACCCACCCAAAAATCAAAAATATGTCATCATTTACTCACCCTCATGGTTCAAAAGAGTATATGTAATATGTATCTTTTTGTAATGTCAGTTTGATGCTTTACACAACAATGACTTTAAATGATCTTTTGGGAGTAATTTCTCAGCCAAATTTGATGTGCGATTAATTTGCAATTAATTAGATTAATTAATCGCTACATCATGTAATTAATTAGATTACAAATTTTAATTGCTTACCAGCCCTAATATATATATAATTGCGCAATTTAACTTTATATCCCATAGTTTGACTTTATGTTGCTATGAATTGGTCTGGTTGAGATCCTCAAACAGAGTATAATTTACACTTCTCTGGAGTATTTACACTTCTAGGGATATATAATATGAAATGGCAATGGATATTAAATATGGATATGAAATGGCTACTTAAGCCGTCACTGCCTATTCAACTGAAATAGGAAAATAATTTTAAGAGAATTGCAAGAATGACACATTCCATCTCTGAAAATACTTTAAAAGTCTCCATAAAATCACCTCTCAAGTGCTGTCTTTTCTTCAGCGATGCTTCTTTAGGGCTCAGTTGACTCAGCCATTACATCACATCTTTCGGTGAAACCAGGGACCCGCAAAATCAGGACTCCAAAGCCAGCGCACAACTAGGGGCGATTCATTTGAAAGCTAACGATGACAGCAAACTCAGAGCGCATTAAAAGACCGAGACAACAATGCCGGCCTATATTGTAATGTTATGTAAATCTGACCCAACAACTGTTTTCTTTAAAGGAGCAAAGCTTAGCAGGGACCGATCGTGTGTGATCTTGACTCGTTACTGAGCTTTTTAAGCGCTTCCCACATCCTGAGTTTTAGAAGCAGGCATTCAGAAATGCTATAGCCGGCTCCTGGAGGGACCCTCCTGGCCTTTTCTCTTACATGCACTCATACAAACATGCTTACACAAACACACAGATTAGCAGCCACATCATGTTAGCCAGAGGGACACACACTCATCAGTTTGTTTGTAAACAGCAGATTAGCGCGCTTTAAAACCATGTCGTACACTGGGTCCCTGAAGGGAACACACACACACGAAGAGAGCAAAAACATGCACACATACACATATAGATTTATAAAGCTCAGTTTTGTTGTTTCTCTCTCTTCAATATCACCATAACGATAAATTTTTGTTTGCACATATTTGTTCCATAACAACCTTGTCTTTTTTTTTCTTTCTTCTAAATCACATGCTTAGATGAAAGACTACGGATATGTAATGCAAATAATTTATTGAATAGGGAGATTAGGTCAAAAACTGTTGCACTGTGACCCCCAGTCCCAAAGAGACAATGCCATAATATTATTTGAAAAAGGTTGTGGTGTAAGGTGGTCTCCAATAATACCCTCAAATTTCTGCCAGCGATAAAATACAAACATGCAATATCGCACTGTTTTGTACTATTTGTTTTTTTTAAACTATTATTACGTTTCTGCATTCCTCTGGGATAAGTTTCAACTCCAATATCGTGGATGTGCTGCTCCAATTTAGCAATCTGGAAGAATAAAAAATTATGTGTGGCTTATTGCCGGTTCCTGGAACGCAGGATGACAAATTGAAAGGATTAAATCAAGCAGGGACTCAGAGGGCCCAAGAAAATGGTCTTTTCTTTTGAGACTCTTAAATTATTTTAACAACTCCATCAGCCTCATTCCATAACCCACTGTATATCTCACTGATTTTGCTGATGAAATATATAAGAAACAAAAGACGAAAAATGCTGTCAGACAGTAGCATTTTGAGCTCATCCAAATCGTGATTCTGTGCTGATGGTCTTTCAAATGCCACCTCAAGTAGTTAAGCATGTGCTGAATGTACCACTGATATCAGCAAGTAGCATAATAAATGAATTCTCCTTTAGGTTGTACAAAGAGTACAATGAAAATCTGTCTCCATTACCTGGGAAACCTGCCAAACGCTGCAAAGAGCTGAAATATGAATTAACAGCAGCAGTAGGAAGGAAAAAAATAACTGACAAACAGAAAAAGCAAATAATCACTATGGAGGTTTTCAAAAGATTTATTAATTATAGAGGAAGTTGTATGCAATCAAAAACAACAGAGTGTAAGAACAGAATCCAAGTATATACTTAGAATGTCACTAGGGCACAGATTAGGTTTTTTTATGCAATAAAAAAAAAAAAAAATCAAAGTGCCCCATACATGACAATTCAAATATACCACATATTTCAAGACACTTGAATGCCGGTATTCTGCATCTGCTGCAACAACAATTTCATATACTCATCAGGTTATTGCTACTGTAATGATCACAAATGGGAAAACTTAGTACAAAGTGTTTTAAATTGCATTCTGATCAAATACTTGAACAGAACAAATCAATTTGAACAACGCAAATTAGCAAAAATGCTTAACAGATGAAGCACATCTATAAGCAATTTGAATAAAAAGAACTTGAGATGGGTTTGGGGAATAAGCAGTAAAGCAAAAGAGAGGAAGGACAACCTAAATGTGCCAAGTACAGCAATAATTCTCTTTCCAACAACACTTAATGTTTTTAAAGACATAACACAA